CTTCCGATCTCAAAGGGATGTCTTCCAGTAAAGACGTTATGTCCAGCCTAAATAATGGCTAAGACAAGGGACCAGAGGCGCGGCACCAAGTGATCTGTTCCCACGAACTTGCGTTGAAACTGGAACGTGCGCCGTGGTTTGGGAGGGAGCTTCCTGCCCCTCAGCATGTACGAGAAGTGCCAAAACAGTACGAACATTGAGTGCCTTGTGCGTTTTATCGTTAACCCATTGTTACGGCATGAATGTGGTTCAGGTCCAGCATGGGGTCAAGTCGTTTGTCCCTGGGCCAGAATCCTCAGGATGACCTTGGGATCGCAAGTTCCAACCAGCACTCCTCGCAAAGAAAAGTGTTTAAAGAACAGGTATCGCTTATGGCTTTTGCTTTGTAGCATGCTCGAACCCTTTTAATTGGAGCACGAATTGGTCCTATAACCGATCGAAGATAGCTGGAAGCGAAGCAAGCCGTACCTGATTTGTGATGAGCATCTCTGTGGAACTGCCGACCAGCCAGTGGGTCCTACCTCTAACAAATGGCCTTCCATTCTGTTATGATCTCGTATATTTGTGAAGCGCCTCACTTGATACTTCTCCTGATAACAGGCTTAGACGCGTGCCTTCTAGACGCATTACTGTAGAATCCATCCTTTTCGTGATCCTACCGTAGATGACGAATTGCGCTTTACATGGTCAAGAGGTCATGCCTTCGATACGCTCCTAAGGTTTGAGCTGGACGGTCGCGCTCCTAAAGTTCAGGGTGAACGGGCCTGGCATAGCTCATTTCCAGGACCCTTTTGCTAGCGTTAGCAATCAGCTAGCGGAGTAATCTCTCAGACCATTCAAAGCCAGCCCCCGCGTTCGAGTAATTAATGGTTGTCCTTCCTTGTGCAAGTAGTCCAGCCCCCAAGCCAGAGACTGTCCCACTCTCGCGACTCCACAGCGAGCGAGGAGCGAGCTACAGCCGCTGAAAGTTCTAGTTCTAACGCCCGCTCAGTTGGACCGCCCACTTGCTAGATGCCCTCTGACGGAGGGCCGCTCAGTTGTTCTTTGTTGGGCGGCGGGCATTAATCGGAATTGCATGTCCTTTTTGCTGACTGCGCTCGTGCTCATAAGTA